AGGGTGTGGAAAAGAGTGAAAGAACGTAACAGAGTATCACAGAAGTGTGTGCCATTGCTCCAATGGGAAGGATGAAGAAAGATGCTTAGCAGAATGAATAAGAGCTAAAGAGGGGGCATCCCCTCTAGGATGACACTGAAGTAGGGACATGCTGGATGGAGTATTTTAGAGATTTGTTTGGCAATAACAGTAATAAGTTGGAGGCAAGTTGAAATGAATGTTATAAATGTTAGTGTCCAGGAAAAAAAAAGATGAAAAGAAAGTAACAAATACTATGAGAATGTTGAAAAAATATATAAAACTGCAGCTGTAGACAGTGTAACTGAAAAAAATGTTAAAATATGGATGCAATTTGCTTATGGTGTAACTGTGTCTCTTGTTCAACATGTAAGTAACATGTGCTTAATGACTGGGGGAAATGTTGTTATTGTTCCTATATACAAAGGGAAAGGGAGGAAGAGTGAAAGCCACAGGGGGGGTTAGTTTGCACACCTGGGAAGATGTTTGGTAAAATTCTAATCAAAATGATACAAGAAGTGACAGTGAGTAAAATTTGAAAAGTACTGTATAGTACAACTTTATGCCAGGCTAGCTCAGTCCCTGCTGCAGCTGGAAAAAGGTTAGTCCCTTTAAAAACTAGAGGCAGAGCTTAAGGATCTAGGCAGATGTACATGTTAAACCTCTTTCTTTTTCTGTGTGGTGCTAAGTCAAGTCTCCTTATTTCTATGTACAAATTATACAATTAAGTGTGTAACCTCAGCCTTTTATCAATCTTTCAAACTGGACATGAAAATATTATTTAGAATTTTCTTGTAGTCTGTAATATTAAATTGTAACATCTCCCATTTCAGAGGGAGAACATGCCATCTTGCAGTCTGCCAGGAGTATTTCATTTTCTCCTGCAAATTTTCTTTGAAGTTGGTAACTGTTTCACGGCGATCTGAGCAGTTCTATAATTTATCTTTACCAATATGGACAATTTGGATTTTAATATTTATAGTTAAAAGGGGGTTATATTTTATGTTTTCTTTGTTTGTTTTTTTAAAGGTTTGATTTTGTTTATCTCTGAGATTGGTCAGTCTCCCAAAGAGGGGAGGGAAAGCTGAATCTTCTAGTCACATGCCTCTACACAACTGAGCCAGGAGATTGCATTACTGAGATTATTTTACTTTTTCCCCATTGTTAACTTTTAATCAACAGAAAGGCATCTTGAATTGTGACAGTGAGAGGAGCTGGCTGAAGCAATTCTGGTAAGACAGGTGGCAGCAATGGGAATGACCAAGATGCTGCCTCAAAGGAAAGGTGAGGCCAGATTTTAAAGATTCAGAGGGCTTCTGAGAGAGAAGATTAGAAACTTCTAGCCTTCTAACCTAAAGGGTTAGCCGTTCTGTTGATCTATGGAATTATTTGCATCAATATGGAGTTGAAGGTTGGTTGCTGATGCAGCTAAGAATGGTATATGATGGAAATAAGGCAGGTGCAAAACTAAATGGAATGTTTAGCAAGTGATTCAAAACTGAGCAGAAAGTAAGATAAGGTTGGGTAATGTCTCCTTGGTTGCTTAACATAATGATACATATTTGCAGATAAAATCATGACTGAAAACCTGAATGATTTGCAGAGAGTATCAGACTATATGATGCAATGAGGAGTATAGACCTGAAAAATAAATATATCAAAGACCAAGATAGTTGTGTCTGATAGGACAAATGGAACAAACAATTGCAAGTTACTGTATACATAAATGGCAAGTAGTTGAATTTATGTAGCATAGTATTAAGTTTACTGAAGACAGGCAAATGGAAAACCTTTTTGAAATTGCAGGTAGAAAAATAGGTCGTAGTATAAAGTCTGTTGTGAGAATTAACATTTGCGAAAAGACACTAAAATGGCTGTGTATAAGAATGTGAATCTGCCCACTCTGTTATACAGAAGTGACAACAGCTATGTCAGGAGAAACCTGAAAGTAAGTTGAATGAAGTGGGAATGAGGTATCTCTGAAGTGGATAAGGCAAAACAAAAGAAAATGGAATCAAGAATATATGGGTGCTGAATAAGTGTGGACTGAATATAAAAGAAAATGACCAGCAAAGTAATTATATGAATGGGTCAAGGGGAAAGGGAAAACCAAGGAAATCGTGCTTGGGTGAAGTTGATCAGATCCTCAAAAGAGAGAGGTGAGAAATCTGAAATAATATAAGGTAATGTATAAAGCAGTATGTGGAAGTAGTTGAAGCAGGGATGATTTGTAAGGACAGAACAGTAAATAGTGAATGGTAAACTAGCTTTAGCAAAGTTTCCTTTTCATTTCCAGCATTCATCCATCCATCCATCCATCCATCCATCCATCCATCCACTTATATATGCTCAGTAATTCTGACACCTTTTCTGTGTTCAGCATAACATTGTATACTCCAAAAGGGTATAAGAGTACATATGTACATGTGTGGAAGAAAGGAAGGAACACAGAATGAAGAAAATGCCCATACTGCTTCCTCCCTCTTTTAAAGTGGTGCTGCTGGTGCCCAAGGGAGCTGGTGGTGGTGGTGGTGCCCAGCAGCACTGGGGATCAAGTAGTGTGGTGAGAATTTTGGCAATACAGGTATGAATACCTTTAGCTGGGGTTCTCCAGGCTTAGGGAAATCAGTACCAAAATAGACATCAAGTTTTTTGCAGAACATCACCTTGCATCCCAGCAAGGTGTCCTCAGCATAATGGTTCAGAAATGTAGATTGTCTTGCAGTATTTATAGTCTGTGCAGGACTAGAATTCTATGGGGTTGTTTGGATGCTACTTGGGAAGTATCAGTTGATTGATGGTTGGGGATGGAGATAAGTCTGTTGCATATGGCTTGAATCAGGTGCCTGACTGGGTAGTGGATCATATCTATCTGGAATCCACTGTCTGGTAGTGGATCATATCTATCAATCTGTTGTTAGCTCCTTTGAGTGCCAGGCTTCCAGGAACTCTGGGTGTTCTGTCTGGCAAAGACAGACAGAAGATATGTCTGGCAGAGATAGCAAGCAATAATAGCAAGAAGTGCAGGAGATAAATGACTGAACAGAATATTGTCAAAGGGACTGCGGAAGACCCCAGAAATGAGGCTAAGTGTGATGGAATGGAATTATGAAGGCCAGGCTCAGAGAGATAAACATTTTCTTAGCTTGCCAGAGGAGTGTGGGATCTACAAGAGGATGAGACTGGCACCTCCCTGAGGAATTCACAATGTTGCGGCTGGCTGGCTTGCTAGAGGTTGTAGCTAATAAACATAGCTGAACTGAATTTGCATTGTCTCTTGGAGTTCCTTGGGCTAGGCCTGACACAAAGGTGGCAAAGTGTGGGATCTACAAGAGGATGAGACTGGCACCTCCCTGAGGAATTCACAATGTTGCGGCTGGCTGGCTTGCTAGAGGTTGTAGCTAATAAACATAGCTGAACTGAATTTGCATTGTCTCTTGGAGTTCCTTGGGCTAGGCCTGACACAAAGGTGGCAACACAAGGAGATGCCAAGGAAACAGGGAGGTGTTATCCTGAGAAAGCAGTGGGTGGACAGGGCTTGAAGAGCCAGGGGTGACGTTGGTGCCAATAGCTGCAGTTTTCCATTCTCACTATCCAACCCAGCCAAGAGGCCAGCGCAGAGGCAGCAATGAGTACCTAAGCAGCCTTGCCAGCAGCAGCAGGGCCAAGCCAGCAATGCTACCAGGAGTAATTCCGCTCCCATAAAATCAAGTAGATGCCAAAGGCCACAGAATAAGAGCAAACCCAAATCAGCAGCATGTTAATGAAAGTATATTTACAACCATACTGTCACAGGTTCTTTGGGGGCAAACCCAAATCAGCAGCAACAGCATCTCCTACATAGCCACCAGCAGCTTGAGGCAATGGCAGCTGAGCCATACCAAAGCAGTTCTAGGAGCTGAGAGGAGGCCCCAAACATGTGGCTGCAACTTTGAGGAGGGGGAAGTTGTGCATATTGGTGAAGAGAAGGAGCATTAAGGCTACTTAAAGCTATCAAGGAGGGTATAGAAAATACTCATAAAATTAAGAAAGTAAGTATGGTATAGATAGCTTATGATGTAAGCTATCTTAAAGGGTATAGAAAATACTCATAAAATTAAGAACGTAAGTATGGGAATAGAAATCTAGGTTTAAGGAAATAAATATAGGAACAATAGAAATATAGTTGTAAGGAAATAAGTATAGAAAGAATTATAGAACTATGTAAGTGTATATGGGAGGAGGGTAAGAAATGGAACTATAGGAATAAACATTGATTTCCAAGAAGATCAAACCTGACAATCCAGAAAACATTTACCATGTACTTAAGTAATAACAGCTGTTCTTGGGGTCAAAAGTCTATTCTGTGCATCTCTGTAGTGTCATCCCCCAAAGAACCTGTGACAGTATGGCTGTAAATATACTTTCATTAACATGCTCAGCTATATCACCTTTCTATTTCATACTTCTCTCTTTCTGTGTAGGCCACTGTATTATTTATTATACACCGTAAATGGCACACGTCTATTCAGAAATAAGATAGATTGTATGGAACTAAATTAAATAACAAACGATCAGTAATTCCTTTTTCTCAATATCTCCAAATCAGACATTGTTTCTTAGAAGCAGAAATACTGATAAGAGCATTAGCAATATGTTTTCAAAAAGTAGTTAGGGACGATATTACTCAACTAAAATTAAAGCATGCGTCCATATGTCAGAATCCATTGCTTTTATAAATACTGTATACACAAAACAAAGTTGCCATTATAATTACTGGGTTAAATTGGCTTAGACTGCCCCAGAAACATTGCAGAGGCCAACCCTCCTTTCAAACGTGTAACGCGCTGGTTGTGTGTCTACGGGGGGAAAAAAAACATCAAGAAAAGCTCCTCACACCTGACGACCTTTTCGTAGCTCTGTGTTCCTTCTCCCGCATGCGCAGGACTTGCTCGGGGGGGGAAATCTGTGTGGGATGCGGGGCGTGGCTTCGCCCTGGGCGGGAGCAGCTGTTCGCTGGTGGCCGTGCGCTTCCTTCGAGGGGAGGAAGGAGATCGTGAGATGAGCGTGCGGGCCGGGCGGGAGCGCGGGCGCCATGGCATCGCTGTTCCCGGCTAAAGGCGTGGGGAGAGCGGACAGAGGCGACGACTGCAGCTCCGGAGAAGAGGAGAGGGCGGCCGCGGCCGTGATGGTCGTGGGCGGCCTGGGGGAGTCTCCAGGCCCTGGTTCCGACTCGGAGAGCCGCTCGTCCTCCCCGCTGAACCTGACGGAGCAGTTCGAGAGGGCGGCGCAGCGCGTCCCGACGCTGGTGGCTGCGGCCAGCAAGGAGCAGCTCCTCTACTTGTACGCGCGCTATAAGCAGGTGAGGCTGCCGCGCCGGTCCGGAGGCGCGAACTGCCCTGGTTGGGTCAGAGGAGGGGGCCGCCTGGTCGCGCACAGCGGCCGGCCAGGTGCTTCTGGGAAGCCTGCAAGCGGGGGACGGAACAGTCTTCCCCTATTTGTCCCCCCCAACTGCTACTAAAAAGTATACTGCTTTTGAATGTGGAGGTTCTGTCTAGCACTCGCGGGGAGGGGGAGTTGTGTGTGCGCGCGCCTTCGAGTCAGTCTTGACTTCGAGGGAGCCCCCTGCAGTTTTCTTGGCAAGGCTTTTCGGAAGTGGTTTGCCATTGCCTCCTTCCTAGGGCTGAGAGAGAGGGACTGGCCCAAAGTCACCCAGCTGGCTTCGTGTTCAAGGTGGGACTAGAAAGTACAGTCTCTGGGTCTTTAGCCTGATGCCTTAACCACTACACCAGACTGGCTCTCTCACAAGTCTAAGGGGTGTGGATAACTTCTCTGTGAATAGTACCAATAGCAGGCTGACTCTGCTGAGATAGTGTTTGCCCTCTAAGACACAAAAATCTGTGGCCACAACTGGGAATTTCGTTTCTGTGTGTCAAAGAAATATGGGGAGCCCAAGACTATGTTTGCAAAATGCATGTATCTGTGGTAATTATGATTTACTCAACACCTCTGTGATCTTGCACAAGTTAAGCTAATTTATGGTTCAGTGCATTGGGCAAGCAAAGCATCTAGATCTGGGAAGAAGGAGTTTGAGCAGGAGTGGGTGGAGAACTGGGTATGTATTCACCTTTTGCGTACCTGATTCATAAAAAAGTTAGAGGCAAAAGAGAGTGAGGCTAGGGTCAGGAGAGAGAGCCATCTGTCACTCCCTAGGGAAAAAGAAATAACACGTGGCATTTTCAGAATCTTTACTGAACATAGCTAGAATACAGAACTTCTTGAAAGGGCAAAATCACATGCGTGTGGTTACAAGTAGTGTTCTGATGCCTTTGACAGTGGTTCAGCAGCAGGATAACTGATATAGTGTAGTTTCCCTTAAAAGTATCAGTTGGTTAATAGATTAATTGGTTAATTGCAATCTATTGTATTCCTACCTGCTTCAGCAAATAGTTTAGCAATCAGGTTGATGGGAAAAAAAAGGCACATCTTGTTTGGCAACTGCATTGACAAACAACTAGGAACAACTGATTCATGAATTATTTATGACTTAAGTATAGTTTTCCATCCTAAGGTTCTGTGTACATCCCTTGCTAAATCATGATTTAATTGGCTAGATTGATAACATGTGAAGCTATAAACTATGGTTTATAAAACAGGGGCAGTTTATATGTGTGTATGTATGTATGTTTGCATTGTTTAAGACCTTATTTTTCAGCACTTCATTTCCAGCTGAAAGCACAAAAAGATTTCAGTAGATTGAAAACTGTAATATTAAATTTTGGATAGGCCCTTTCATCATAAGTAAATTATCAGTTGGTATTGAAATCATGAAGTGCTCTTTAGGTACATGTTTGTCAATCTCAGAGGATCATTCTAAACATACATGGTTTGCTGAGATAGAATCTGCCCATCTGGCGAGGACCTGTTGAGGGTCTCTCCTCTTCGTGAAGTTTATGGGATATAGATCAGGCAACAAACAATCTCAGTGCCATCTTTTTATGCTGTTTTTTAAAAATTTATTTGGTTTTGTGCTATAAGTTTTATTGTATTGCTACCTGCTCAGAGTCTGCTAGGATTGTGGTAGGATATAAATACTGAAAAATAAATCCCCTTGTCAAAAAAAGATAGGCTGGAGACTGGGTGAAAGTTGTCAAATACAGCTGGGTCCAGGGGTTGCCACTTCAAGAGAGAACATATTACTACTCCTAATATGTTAGGAAGCAGATAGCATTACCCCATCCCTTAAAGCATTAATTATTTCCTAAAGACTGCTACTCCCACCCCATCTAGTCACCTGAAGGATTCAGGGTGGATGTACATCCAGGGTCTAGCCCACAGGTGACAAGCTTAAACTACAGAGAATCCTGTCTAGCTCCTCAGGTTCCACAACCTCAGAAGAAACCCTGATTTCATCACCGTGGGCTCTATCCATTTGGCATAAAGCCCAGACTGGATATGAGCAACTTTATCTGACAGGAAACTCTCAAACTCCTGCAGGCATTATATTCTGCTCATTTTCCCAAAAAGAGCCTGGAGAATAGGGCTGCTGGGTTGGGAGTAATAAACGTGGAGAAAAATGTCATTTTGCTGCTCTTATTGCCACTTTGCAGACTCAAATATGAGCTCTTAGCAAAACTCGGTCATATTTTTCACCACTGTTGCTATAGGTGTCTTAAGAAACCCCAAGCTGTAGTATTCGGTACAAAACATGTAACTGTTCTGTGTCATAAAACCTCTGCCTGGTGCCTAGTATTCAAGTGTATGAGGTTGCTATTACTATAAAAAGAAGAGTTCTAGAGGTAAGATTTAGCTTCTGCCCACGTGAAACTTCATGCAGTCATCTTCAACTTCTAGCAAATACCTGTGATGTTTCTAGGCTGTGTAGAACACTTATCAGAATTCAGATGTTGTGACTAGATCTCTCTCACTATAACCTGTAGCAGAAAAATTCACCTTACAGAAAACCAAAACAATTGAGGTCTAAACTGTTTTTCTTTATTAAGCTAGGAAAGCTCATGATCATTGAGCTCCCAGCAAGCAAAGCTAAGAGCCCTGATAACATGGATCTTATATAGGTTTCACCAAATTCTAAGAAGCAAAAGCTAATTGGATCATTAGTTTACAATCATCTAAATAAGGAACTAAGACAGGGGTTCCTAAACCTTTTACATCACACCTCCCTTTAGTGTAATCTTAATGTACACTTCCCTTAAAAATCCAAACACCAGAATGAACACTGGCAACAATACAACGAAACTTTATTTTTAATAAAGGCATAAAAAATAAAGTTTGTGCCTCCTCCATCACCATGTAACTCACTTGAAACTAGTATTTTGGCAAAGGTGGATTTACAGTATTGTAGCAATGTATGACTAAAAGGTATTTCACATCTCCCCTGGACTCTGTCTGCAGCCAAGGAGGGTACACCTCACAGTTTGGGAAACCCTGAATTAGGTGGGGGCGCCCACCTACAAGAGGCAAGAGATCACAACATTGACAACAGCGTGGAAATGAAGTAAATTACTCTTCGTATTGTTGAAGGCTTTCACGGCCGGCATACAATGGCTGGTGTGGGTCTTCCGGGCTGTGT